AAAAGTTTTTTGCCCATTGATTATTAAAAAAACCTGTCACAGGATTTACCTATAATAAAATAGTTTGTGCCCAAAATTCAGGCGAAAAAAAATTGTATGAAAAAAGTAATAAAATTAGTTGGAATAAATATATTTTAACAAGTGTTTTAAAATCGATACCTTCAACTACAAACAATTAATAAATGTTTTAGTTCAGTAAAAAAAGTATGAAGGTCTTTGTATTAAAACTAATACTTGTTAATGAGACAATTATTATTAATCTCACAAAATTTTAATGAATTAATAACTACGTACATTCCTTTGTTAGCTGCAGGTTTACCAAGTCCATCGAAGGTATCATACAACTAATTTCTTCAGTTTTTTTTACCTATTATTTTAAACAGCGCTGTTGGGCTAAGCTCTCCAATTCCTATATATCCCCTCGTTTCTTTCAGGGTATAACAAGAGATAAATAAACTAGGAAATAAATTAAGATGTAGTTTGGACACGTACAAGAGGGACTTCTAGGCTAAATAAGCTGAAGCCAAATCATAAATAAATAAGCTCTAAATTTTATAACTCATTGGTACTTATTAACTGATGAAAAAACTATACAACTTTCCACTGAAAAGTAGTCATTGTATTAATTTATAAAAGCAAAAAGTTGTTTTTATGATTTTTAATATTATCATTATTTATTTGTTCATTTCTTTTTAAACAGCATCCGATCTTAAAAATAAAAATTATAAGTGAGTTATATAATACTGCAAAGAAAATTATAATAAAGTGAATAAAAAAAGTGACAACAACCTGTTTGAAGGATCATACATAAAATTATGTACAACGTGGTAAATTAATTTATCGGCCTAACCGATTGTTCAACAAAAACGCAATTTTTTTGGACTTTGGACTATTTTTTAGCTTTAAACCCACTGAGAGTGCGCCGTCTTTACCAGTGAGAAAACTCTCGTTCGACTTTAACGATTTTTCAAGCTTACTTGTTCGTTGATCTGATTTATTCCTCATGATTCTGCTCTCTCACTTCAACCATCGATTCTCCCCGACTCTCTGTGTGACAGAAAGCAGGTTCTTTTGTCCGTATTTCATATACAAGGAAATCCGGGAAAAAATTTGGTACTTTGGCGTCACGAAACGCAAATTACATCTTGGAGCTCACTTTTCAAGGTATTTTGTGCACAAAATTATTATTATTTTTTTTAACCATTCAAACATGATGTATTTACAATAGTTGTTTACACTAAAAGTTGCTTGTGAAAGTTTAGCACGCTGCTCTAGAGATGTTGAGCTTCGAATTTCCATATTTTATGGATAACGGATAAAAAAATTTTTAGTTTTATAAAAATACGATTGAAGTATAAGAAACATTGTCACTTTACTTGATGTTAAACATTTTATTTCATGGCATTTTAAAGATGTCTTGATACAATAACATTCTATATGTATTTTAGTTAATCTAAGTATACTATAATGAAGTTGCTCTTCATTTTTTAAATTCCGTTGAAATTTTTTGGGTCCATTCTAAGAGGCAAACGTTGCTGAAACTCTCTTGGTTATATGTGTATAATGGTAATTAAAAATGATTGCACGCAAAATCAATAAATATAAGTATTAAGTTGAACAGCATTTGAAATTGACTTATAGAGCTGCTGAACTTTGTAACTTTGGTTTCTGATTTATCGTACGGATATACATGGATGAAATTTTACCAACTAGTCTAGTTTTTTGAAAATAATGCAATTTATATTTGATGTAACTAGATTATGATGCATAACAAGTTTCCTAACAATTATATTTTTATGTGGTCTAGTAAGTTTTATTGTTAATGTCATTATTATTATTACTATTACCATTTCATATAAATGTAAATAAACAAATTGTTCTATGAATTACATTACAAAAAATACATATTGCCACCTACTCGTACTCATACTGAACGCTTTTTCAACCTCGCACACATTTATCCTACACAATATAGTTACATTAAAACACATGTTACTTGTTTTAGGCGTTACACTTAAAAAAAAACCACCATCGTAGACTAAAAAATAACACAGTCTACCCAGAATTTTTACGTAACTGCAGTATAATCACGTGTAAAATTGATTTTTTCAAAAAATGTAATACTTCACGTATATATTCAATATTGAATGATTAGTCATTATACCGTAGTATTTACCATATCGTACAGCAGTTTAAAATTATCGATTCAGTCTGGATCTATAGCGTACAAATAAATAAATGGTAAGTAAGTATAAACGTTGTATCCAATAGAGCATTTAAAACCACATAATTTTTTTCAAAATAATGATACACACCCTGGTCGTTTGTTTACAAACCTTTGGTGAATGTAATCCAATGCGTTAAAAAATTCACCTAACAAATCAAAGAACTTTTTGAAATTACCCGTACCTAAAAAAAAAAAAAAAAAAAAAAAAAACAAAACAAAATCAAAAAACTAAAAGACAATCCATGCATATCAATGTAATTCGACGAAAGTTTAGGGGTAAACGCACCATCTACCGTACACCCGTAAATTCACTTTATTTTGTTACCATGATTGTAAGACATGAAAAATCAAAAAAGAAAAACAATTACAGAGAGAGAAACAAAGATTAGAAAAAGAAAATAAAAAATTACGAAAGCAAGAAGAGAAGTTAAAAGCCATTGTAAACAGAAAAAAGTCTGTTGAGGAAGATTTAATGGACGAGACAGAAGCTATTGATTTACAAAAGCAAATTGGAGAACTTCAAGAGAAACAATTAAAACTAAACCAAAAAAGAAAAAAAGATCCATCATGAGTAATTTTTGTAATGCAAGTTATTCTTGAATATTCATAACATCGTAAGTTGATTACTATTATAGTCTCAAGCTTTTTTACTGATTTTTGTCAGTCTAACTAAAATATTAAAAAGCAATAATATCTCATGATATGAAACAGAAATCTTTTTAATGAATGAATTTTTTTTCAATAAATGCAAATAAGTTATTTCATACAAACAAGCAGTAATTAAACTTAGATTAGTTTCAGCTTAACGACAATTAAATCTATTAATACTAAATAAAACTTCACTTGGTAAAAATTATTCAAGAATAACTTGCATTACAAAAATTACTCATGATGGATCTTTGTTTCTTTTTTGGTTTAGTTTTAATTGTTTCTCTTGAAGTTCTCCAATCTGCTTTTGTAAATCAATAGCTTCTGTCTCGTCCATTAAATCTTCCTCAACAGACTTTTTTCTGTTTACAATGGCTTTTAACTTCTCTTCTTGCTTTCGTAATTTTTTATTTTCTTTTTCTAATCTTTGTTTCTCTCTCTGTAATTGTTTTTCTTTTTTGATTTTTCTGTCTGCTATCTTTTTGAATTGCATAATTGACTTGGCGTTTTTTCCTTAATTTTCGATTTTCCATCTTTCTCTGCTTTTGACATTTTCATCGTGATTTATGTAGCAGGCACTGAGATCGATATGCAGTTGTAAACAAAAATGTGAGGTTATAGTCAAATCTGTCGTCAAACGGTGAATGGGGTCCGGTAATAGGAACACGTACGGTAGATGGGGTCCGGTAATGAGAACGGCAGTACGGAAATAGGAACACGACTTCTATTTCATATTTTTATTATAAAATCATTTTAACAAGCTCTAACACCTCAAAAAAATTTGGGTGCTCTCTTGAGATCCTAAATAACAATTTAAAATTTACTGAGTCAATATTTAGTATCAAACTGTCTTACAATCATGGTAACAAAATAAAGTGAATTTACGGGTGTACGGTAGATGGTGCGTTTACCCTAGAATAACCAGTACCTATGTAGGTCCTAATACTTTATTCGAAGATATTATATTCCTATATTTTATTTAAACGGAAGGGAGGGAAAGTTTAGGAGTCCCTTTGCCCTTCTCTATTTCCTTGTTATTGATCCCCTTTTTGTCGAAAAGAGCACTAAAAAAAAAAAAAAAAAAAAAAAAATCGTATCAGACTTACTACTCAGCTCGTAATTGTCGATGGTGTTCATACCTACTAGATAATTATTTCGGTATTGTCGAAGCAAAGTTGGCAAACTTGGTATCGTGATATGTGATTCCCAATAAGTGCAAGGAAGACAAAAACAGTGAGTCCCAGAAAGATAAAAAAAGAGAGATATCAGTTGCACACAAACACACAAAGAGAGGGGGAGAAATAAAAAGAGAAGGATGAGAAGAGAAAAACACAACAAAGAGATGCGAAGGACAGAGAGAGAGAGAGAGAGAGAGAGAGTGATCCCCGGGGCGCTGCTGTGCTGTGGTGCTTAACTATGGCAGTGGCCAGTGCTGACTCGTTACGTTCGTTACTGAGAGCCCAGTTGGTAACAGACCAGCGCCGCGTGCGGATCTTTTAATTCGAAGAAAGTCAACAAAGGGTACACCAGTCGTCTGTCAGCCTACTTTCGGAGCAGCACGGTACACTCAAGCGAATCTTGCGTCCTGCTGCTGCACTCCTTTCTCAACCGACCTTCTTCATCTGCCTACACACCCACCTCGTCCTCTCGCTCCGTAACCCCCATCGTCAATATTTCATCCGGGCGATCCGCGAGCAGCCGTTCCGAATGCAGCCGCCATCAGCAGCGAGTTGTCAGCATCAGCAGGGGCAGCAGAAGCAGTGTATCACCACCGTCACCGTCCGGGAGCGATCGCCAGGGCTGCGCCAGATGTTGATGCACGAGCAGCGTATGATCAAAGAACAGAGCAGCAGCTTTAGCATATCTAGGAAGCAGTAGCGCTAGATCATTCGGTCCATTGTGTAATACATCGCGGTGTAGTGCACACACGTATACACACACCCACACACGTATAGGCAGCAGCACCAGACGCATCGGAGGATATAGCCGAATACCTGGAGAGGATAACAGCAGCTTGCGAGGAATATAACATTGTGAAGCATCGAGGAGGAAGGGGCACACGAGGTGTCATGGGGCCTCCCTCGATCATTTGACCCACGGGGCCCGCCGACTCCTGGGCTCGGCTGTTTTGTTGCTGCCTCTCTCTCTCTCTCTCTCTCTCTCTCTTTAAACCTTTCCATGCACGTTACGACAAGTATATAATATAATACAACACAGCCTATGCTCGTCCGTCCTCAGCTCTCTCTGTTTCTTTGAATACCCCCGTGTTTATGGTGTCGTTGTTGAGAAACCTACTGCCACGCCACAAGCACCAGCTGCAGCGGCAGTGAAGTTGTCCCAGGCCACGTCCTCGACGTCGTCATATTCGTCGAGCACTGTTCCCTTCAGCTTTCAATCGGTGAGTATTACAACGTAGACCTGGTGATGTGATGTGTGTTGTTCGTACCTTATACCTTACGCCTCTATAGGCTACAAGCATTTGCATAATGTACTTGTGTGTATTTAAGGATAATAGAGATGCAAGTATTGATGCATGAGAGGGAGAGACTCATCGATACTTTTCTTACAACATGGTTATAAGTACATACATGGCGAGCCAAAAGCACAAAAGCCGTGCAACGACTCGTACTTGTATGCCTACATATGCGTGTGCTTTTAATCCAACTCACCCCCCTTTTTTTTTGGACACAAAGTTGTATACCCAAGGGAAATTTGAAATTCATCAAGTGGGCCCTTTAAACCTGCGCGTGTGTGCGCGACCTTAATTTTTTGTGTACATTTTGTTTGTATGCATACACAACACAGACGGACAGAGAGAGCACGCACAGTGTGTGATGTACATGTTACACAGGCTCCGCACGAATCAAAACACAAAGGAGCCCCCTGAGCTCGCTCCACACAGGGCAGTGCCTGGCTGCACGGGTGCGTTAGAAAGAGAAACAAAAAAATTATGGGGGTTCCCCTCTTTTTTTCGAAAAGAAACCAAAACTGAAGAGAGAGACAGAGGGTCGTTATACTTGTCTCTTCTGTGGACCCATCTGGTCTGCAGCAGCAGCCCGTTATTATCATTGTATAAAACAAAAGACCCCCGTTATTAGTGTCCTCTCCGCTCAATATTTGTGTACATTCTCTCTGGATCCGCTCCGAAGTGACAGTGCACCGTCCCTCACCCCCTCTTTTTCTTCGCCATGATTTAAAGGCCCAAAAATTTTCCTTTCGTTATACCTAAATGAGTATAAGGTACACAATATAAGCACTGACACCCTACCTCAAGCATTTAAAAGCTTACAAACCACATAGCTCTCTTTTAAAATATTGTTGGTATGTCGTCATGAACATATTGCATGCTTTTGTTGATAAACCATAGTGCACAGTGCGATAAAATCATATGGCCATGGAATATTCTATTGACTACGTAACAATGGTGGCTTATGATAACACATACAAGCGTCGTACAAAATAAGTGAATATTCGCTGGGTCAAACTTTTTTTTGTTTATAACTGAGAAAGTGTGTATGGATAACATGTATATGTATATATTACAGGCTTCCCCGTTGTCCTCTGTCTCGCACTGCACCGTACCGTTAGCTCCTTTCTCTCTCACACACAGGCCTCGTACGTCTACGTGTCGGGAGCACTGTACGTGTAGGTATACCCCCATATGGTTTTTCGACAGCGTAGCTAGCACAGCTGAGCAACACAGAAAATGTGTGTGTATGTGTGTGTGTGTGTAAAACAGAAATGGCAACTCTCTCTCGGCTATACCGTAAAGTAAAATGGAAACTTCTATATTAGTGATCGATCGTTACGAAAGCTTCTTTTAATTATGATGTTTTCGGGTTTTTTTTGAAAATTGAAATAAACAATTATATCTGGTCGTTTCTAATCCTCCTCGATTTTTTATTTTACAAAACCACCTGTTTTGAAACATTAGGGTTTTTTTTTAATCGTTTATAGAATATATTAACACTGTTGAATTTAAAAATTATACTTTGTAGACAGCTGTTTTTTCCACTAAAAATTAAGATGACATTTTTTTCTTACTCAGATGAGATTATCACAAAATTTTTATTTATTTTGATGCGATAAAACTATTGTTACTCTCCCAGAGTGTGAAATCTCAGTGTTTTTGAGGTCAGAACATGTAATAATAAACAAATAAAAAACAGTTTTTTTAACGGCAACAGAACTATATTATTTATCCGGTTGAAATTTAAAATAATTGCTCAAAAGAGGTTTTCCCCGGGGCGCTGCTGTGCTGTGGTGCTTAACTATGGCAGTGGCCAGTGCTGACTCGTTACGTTCTGTTTGAAGGATCATACATAAAATTATGTACAACGTGGTAAATTAATTTATCGGCCTAACCGATTGTTCAACAAAAACGCAATTTTTTTGGACTGGTTAATAAAATTCAATTATATTCTTTGAATTCCCATCTTTCTATTCGTATAAAAAAAAATTAAGGTTGACGATGAAAATTGTAAGAAATCATGCTTACAAAATCGTAGTTTTAAGACGGGTTAGATAGGAAATGCAAGCTTACGCGATATACAACCTACTGCTGCACTTATATAAATAACCCGTAAGGTGTAAAAAACATACTATCTTGTATTTATTATTACGCAGTTTTCGGTGACATGAGAAAAGTGTCTTGTTATCGAACAAAATCTTTAAATAATCGGAGACTAAGTATACAGTTGCGAGTGCAAGTCAGCTCTCAGCTGTCTGCATTCTGCAGAGTACATATATATAGGTATAACCACTCTTGAACTTAGGAGCGTACCGTAACAGTTCATCAATTAGGGCACCATAAAACTTTTTTGTTTTTTATATTAACTCACTAAAGTAACAGATAAAATGTAGAATATGGCTAACAACAGTCTCTACGATAATTTTATACCATATTTTAAAGAAAATAATGATTAATTTTTAGTCTCCCCATTTTGATACGGCACTAGGCGCTGGAGCCACCTTAAGTAGAGAGACGAGATCGCATAAACAAAAAATTAAACTTAATGCTAAAAAACTAGCTTTAAATTAAATGAAAAATATAAGAGTTACTTATTTTTATATAATTTTTTCCTGGATGAAATGAATTGATTTTTTTATGACTAAATAATGAATTTACTCTTAGTGTTACATCATTTCATTTTCATTCCAATTATCTAATTTCTTTTAATAATTATCACAAATTACTTGTGGCTCGGGGATGTAGAGAAACTGTATCTTCAAGCAAAAAACGATTACATCACCGTTTTTTAAAAAGTTTTTTTAGTGAAGAAATAACAATTTCGCTTTTTTCATAAGTTTCGATGTGGACGATGCAAGAGATAATATAAGCGTATGATTTTTGCTGTAAAGCAAAAAGAAATTTTTTATTTTAGGACGTCCTATGTGGTGATTATAGTGCAATTATTTTCTCATATGCTTAATAGTTGTAATAATAATAATAGTTATATAAGTTTTGAAACATATGTAAACACATAAAATTCAACAGTATGTTGTTTTGTGTACTTCACACTCTTAAATTAGATAAATATATGCGTCAGTAAACCTAAATTATCAATATCTTATATTATATCACTTCACCACTCGTTTTTCCGTCGAATTAAAGAAAAAATAACAATTTATCATCACTCATTTCATTAACATTTTTGGCCTAAATACAGTTGTGATTAACAAAATTCACGTTTGAAAGTAATCAATACTAGGGATATGATTGAGCATATATATATTAGTAAATGTGTAGATTGTATACTAGTAAGAACTTTATTCTGTACCTATGGAGTATAAGTGTGATATTTTCCTTTTAGTACCCCATACACTTTTTTATTGTATTGCAACAAATTAGTTAGTTCATTGTTTTATTTTATGTAATCTGTGCTGAAAGACCTTTTTTTCGTTTGACTGATAAAACCGAGATAAAACATTTCGTTAATGAACAACTTCATTACTGCTCTTATCTACCAAGTTGTGTGAATCACTTTTACGGCCTTGCCAATAAATCGAGCAATAAATGATAACATAAATACAGTGCATGTCAGTGTTAGGATTTATTGACATGCTGAAGCAGCGCCCGCCACTCTATTAGCCTTAGAATCTTATTTTAATCTTCATTTTTGCATTTTATGCAATGAAAAATGAATATCACAGTTGTATTCGAGGTTGTGTGGAACTGTATTTCCTTTGGTTTATCAGCTTAGTTCTCTTGTTTTAAATACATACATACATACATACTTATCTCGATTCATGCTCGAAACTCCCTAAAATTTGCCATTAGTTCTTATAGGGAAGCCAATATCTGTATTATTGAAATTAATTTTGTTAGCAACTAATTTATTATTTACCTGTATTTTAGAATTGCGTTTTTCAAAATGAGTAAAAAATTGAAAACTTAAAATCGCTATATCTCCGTAAGTAATGCAGATATTGCGACATGAGCGATATTGTGTGATGATAGAAATTCAAAAAAAATTTTTTTCAACCGTAAGTCTTTGGCCACTTGAAACGATGAAATAAATGTCTCTTACTCTCCAATATTCTAAAAATTAGATTATTATACCACAAGGAGCCTGGAAACGATCGTAGCTATGCTCTTAACTTAAATTCTCAAACAAAAAAAATTTTAAACTTAAAATCGCGATATCTCCGTAAAAAATGCAGATATCGCTAAATGGACTATATATATTATGTGATTATAAAATTAAAAAAAAAATTTTTTTTTGAAAACTGAAACGTTGGCCACTTTAACCGATTAAATATAATATGTCCCTAAACTCTTCAATACTCTACAGATTAACTTTTTATACCATGTAGTGCCCGAAAAAACTAGAAATAGTTATACGTGTTTGAGTAGTTATATGTTTGAAATAGTTTGTTTTGAGTGTTTGGAGATGAACGTAAGATAGCTGCATTTAATATCGTTGTTTCGGTACACGCATATGGAGAAATTCACTAAAAATCATCCCGTTTTGTCCCCTATTTTAATAAAAAAAATGATTTTGAGACACACTTTTGAGATAGGGCCCATTTTACTCGTAATACCATTTATTATAACTAGCACATAATATACTTTCATATTTTTATCAGAATCCCAGCCAGCACAAGCTAACTTTTAGAAATCGTAGATTTGCCGTTCACAAGTTATCTTTACGATTATCAAAAAGGTAAGTTGCAGAGAACTATAAGATAAGAAGAACAGTTAGCTTTGTAATGATAACATTAAGCTTTATATTTTAAGATAACTTACGTTATCTGACAAAAGGTAACTTAGAGAAAAATTTTTTAATATAACTTTACGGTAACTGGAAAACAACATCGTACAGTGGTCCTATTTGAAGTTAACTTTAGATATCTGAAAAATGTTAACGTTTAGTAGAATTAGTCANATATATATAT